CCCCAGTTCCTTTTAATTGTCTTTTAAATCCCTGTAACTCTCCCTGTGTTGTGCCATCACCTACTCTATGTGAAAAGTTCCTTTCATTTTTTAATGATAAAGTCTTGGCCATCAGATCTTCACCTCCTCCTCTCACCTTAGACCCAGCAGTGTCTCCTGTGTGCTCAGCTGTCTTCGAGCAATTTGACCTGGTTTCACTGCCCGAGTTATCTGATGTGATTAAAAAATTGAAACCTTCACAATGCCCCTTAGACAGTATTCCTCCGAGACTACTGAAAGACGTTTTTACTACAATTGGGTCATATATTTTAACTTTGATAAATATCTCTCTCACCTCAGGCTGCGTTCCAACCTTTTTTAAACACGCTGTAGTGCAGCCTCTTATCAAAAAACAGAACCTTGATCATTCTGTTCTCTCCAACTTTAGACCTATTTCTAAGCTGCCCTTCCTGTCTAAAGTCCTAGAGAAAGTGGTGTTAGCGCAACTGCAGTCACACCTTGTTTTAAACTGCATATCAGAAAAGTTTCAGTCTGGTTTTAAATCACGCCACAGTACAGAAACTGCTCTCCTAAGAGTTTTGAATGATCTTCTTTTAACTGCTGATTCTGGGAATTCTGCTGTGCTTGTGCTTTTAGATTTGTCTGCTGCTTTTGACACCATTGACCACCAAATTCTTTTATCACGCCTTGAACTGTGTGTTGGAATTAAAGGTAATGTCCTAAAATGGTTTCAATCCTATCTGTCAGAAAGGACCTTTTCTGTGCATCTTGGCCAGTATTCTTCAGCTGCAGCCCCACTAGCATATGGGGTCCCTCAAGGTTCTATCCTCGGCCCCATTTTGTTCAGTCTGTATTTACTACCTCTGGGGTCAATTTTTAAAAACCATAACATTTCTTACCATTGCTTTGCAGATGATCTGCAGGTATACCTGCCTATAAAAGCAAATAAGGAATCTAGGATTGCCTTGCCTCTGAAAGACATAAAATCATGGATGGAAATCAACTTCTTGACTCTCAACGAAAACAAGACAGAGATTATAATATTTGGACAGTCTGAACTCCTGGATGGCTTTAATAGTGTACTCGGCCCCTTAGCCTCCTACAGCCGTCCCTCTGTCAGAAATCTTGGAGTCATCTTTGACAACTGTTTTAAATTCGACAAACAAATAAGCTCAGTTGTCAAGACAAGCTTCTTCCAGCTGCGGCTTCTGGGGAAGGTAAAGGCCTATCTTCCTAGTAAGGAATTTGAACAGCTAATCCACCTATTTATAACGTCTCGTTTAGACTATTGTAACTCCCTGTATATTGGTGTTGATAAGTGTTTGATCCGTCGCCTGCAGCTGGTCCAAAATGCAGCTGCACGCCTTCTTACTGGGAAGAGACGTTATGACCACATCACACCCGTTTTGGCAGACCTTCATTGGCTTCCTGTCAGTTACAGGATCCAGTTCAAGTACTTACTTGTTGTTTTTAAATCATTGCATGGACTGGCACCACATTACCTGTCTGAGTTGTTGCACCGCCATGCTCCAGCTAGAGCATTGTGATCAGCTCAGCAAAATATGTTGGTGGTTCCTCGGTGCAGGAAAAAAACCTGAGGTGACAGGGCTTTCAGTGTTGCAGCTCCCAGACTGTGGAACAGCCTCCCAGTACATATCCGGACTGCTGAGTCTATTGAACTTTTTAAATCTCAGCTAAAAACTCAACTCTTTGCACTGGCTTTTAATACTTTACATTTTTACATTTGTATGTGTTTTTTTAAAATATTTTTCTAGTTATTGTGCTTTTTATCATGTTTTTAATTATTGTTTTATTATTGTACTCCCATTGTGTTATTTAATATGTATTGCCTGTACTGTACAGTACTTTGGTCAACTGAAGGTTGTTTTAAATGTGCTATATAAATAAATAAAGATTGAGATTGATTGAGATTATCTTATTCTAGTAGAGATTAGAGGACAGGTCTAATGTTGTGAACAAAATTATCAAGTCAAAGTTATTTTATTTATTTTATCTTATGTACCCCATTTAATTTAATAATTATTCTTGAATTACTAATAACTCTAAAGAAGGCAACAATTTACAATGTGGATAAGGTGAATACTTATCCAAAGTGTGTGTGTGTGTGTGTGTGTGTGTGTGTGTGTGTGTGTGTGTGTGTGTGTGTGTGTGTGTGCGTGCGTGCGTGCGTGCGTGCGTGTGTGCGTGCGTGCGTGCGTGCGTGCGTGCGTGCGTGAACAGCATAAGGTGTCTGCACAAGGTTAAAACATGTGGGACAGCAGTGAGAATGTGAGTTGCCTGTTATGAGAAACAATGAGTTGCTTAGACTGAACTCGAAGGAAGCTCAACTGGAGAATTAAAAAAAATCCAAACAAATGTACATTAATTAAATACATTTGACTCTGGCTTCAATACTTTCTTTATGGTATTTAAATTGGGCTCAAGTAGAACCTTTACATGAATTTGGCTTGCAACACAAAGTGATACTGATCTCTGTCTGTTATGATTTGGAAGTCTCATGATTTAAAGTCCAGGGCTGTAACATTCTTAAATAATTGCTCAATTCATTTAACACATTTATTATGCACACAATAAAAACTTCAACAAATATATTGATCCTGGCTTAACCAGGGCCCCTAAATCTTTTGTTCATAAGCTTGGTTTCTGAAAACGTGTCAGTAGTTTAACAACTATTTGAATTTTAGTAGATGTCTATGGAGACCAAATTGGTTGATACGAGAAATCATTTGAAGCAGTTTAATAAAGAATGTTAAACTATATTTAAAACTATAATTGAACTTCAACAATATCATCTTCTTTTCTTCTTACACCTACAGCGCACACCCTGAACAGTGTGCTTCTTGTTTACATTTTCTCTACACACTCAGATGCAGGACAAAAAACGCTATTTATTTTCATTTTGCAGCACATTATACTACACAGTAAATTTCTCTGAGTAAAATTGACTCAAATTAAAGAAAATCTTACTCTAAAAATATAACATTTGGTCCCAACCTATATAGAGTAAAATGTACTCTTTGTTCAGAGTTGTATTTTTAGAGTTCATTTTACTCTATTATGTGCTTAGATTTGACTCTGCTTAATGGTTATTTACTCTATGTAGTGTATATTTAAAACAACTCTACTGCCATTTTACTCATAATAGAAGGTAATTTTACTCCCAATCGAACGTAATTTCACTCCAACTAGAAGGTAATTTTACTCAGAATAGAATAAATGAACCATAATGATCTTTACAATAAAAAAGGTCAATAAACCAAAGTGCTTAAGGAACATGAGTGGGCGTGTGTGAAGCTGACCATTGAGCGGCCCGACCAAGCAAGGAGGCAGAGAGTTCAAATACAACCCGGTGTGGGCATTTATTCCTCTTTGTGGTACAGGATACACAGCCTCAATATGACTGTCTCACGTGAACACAGTCACCAGTCACCAGTCACCAGTCACCAGTCACCAGTCACCAGTCACCAGTCACCAGTCACCAGTCACCAGTCACCAGTCACCAGTCACCAGTCACCAGTCACCAGTCACCAGTCACCAGTCACCAGTCACCAGTCACCAGTCACCAGTCACCAGTCACCAGTCACCAGTCACCAGTCACCAGTCACCAGTCACCAGTCACCAGTCACCAGTCACCAGTCACCAGTCACCAGTCACCAGTCACCAGTCACCAGTCACCAGTCACCAGTCACCAGTCACCAGTCACCAGTCACCAGTCACCAGTCACCAGTCACCAGGACCTCACACACACACACTAACAGGAAAACAGAACCTAAATACACACAGGACTAATCAAACCAACAAGACACAGGTGAGGAGGGAGGAGAAAACACAGGGCACCAGGTGAACGCAATCACCAGCAACAGACAAGACGGGAGGGGGAACACTTTTCAAACTAAAACAGGAAACAGAGACAGACAAACTAAAACATAGACAGATTGTGACAAATATATGCATAAATGACATATAATCACATGCTTCCTGTGCAATGTTTTAGCGTGGAACAAATGAATATACTTCGCCAATAATGAAGCTATATAATCCGTAACGGAGACCGAGATCTATGGCCCCAGAGATCACCTCCGTTACAGCGTGGTCATGGTTTAACTCCAATAGAATTGACTCTGCATTTTTGATCGCACTCTAGAAGCTATGAGTAATAAATACACTCCAAAATGATTAAATATCACTATTTCAGAGCAAAATAGTAATTACTCTGGAAAAAATACTCACCAATATTTCCTGTGTACCAGAATTTTGCTTTACATCTTTATATTATTAATTTGTCTTAAGTCATTTACTTTTGGTGAGTTAACTAAAGCTTAGTTTATTTAACACTGGCTGTGGACAGATTCATTATTAGTTGTTACAAAACATGCACAAGACGGCGGTTAGACGAACCAATATAGACCCCGATACAAACAATCAGACACTAAAACATGAACTCATAATAAACACCAGTGCGTCAGAAAAGCTCATCCAGCTCAATTTAGTTCGAATTAAGAGGTTCCAGAGGGGGTAGGGAATTATCTCCAGTGGGGCACCTTGACTCGCGCTTCCACCCTTGTATAGAAGTATAGATCGGTGCCTGATGACCGTCCAAGAGCGATAACTATCTTATCCCCTTGCGACAACCCCTACTCTATTCTAGTGGCGCTATGCTATGATCAGGAGCGCATACTTTTTTTCTCTACCCTTTCTCTCTAACAACAAACACAGTTAATTGTAGTCACTACGGACCAGCCTAGACACTTGCTATCGAGTTCATTACAACGATGAAACACAGTCTTGCTCCACCCTTGCATGCCACTGCCCACCTGTGATCAATTTATGCAAATATACTAAAATACTTGAAACCTCTTCAAGACCTTAAAAGAAAGCAAACAGGTTCCCTGTGCAGCAACAGCCAATCCCAGTGTGTTACGTATGCTTTTATCTCATTGGATTATGCTGGAATAGAAATCCTGTGCATGTGTGCCAACCCCAAGAAAGTTCCAAAAGGAAAGCCACACTGACAGAGACAGTTGAGTCGTTGCACAACTTTCCTGCTGACCGCACCTCAAACTGAATTTGATCCGACAGCCATGAATTCTGCAGGTTTCCCACCTGAGACTGTCCCATTGCAGGGGAAATACGAAGGGTTTCATGGACAGCCTGGAGGATCTGCAGGGGTTCAATACACCACTGTGAGCGTCCCCCCTGAGCCCCCCAGGGACCACATCATCTGGTCCCTCTGCTGCCTTTTCTACTCAAACCCCTTCTGCCTGGGACTGGCGGCTCTCATCTTCTCCATCAAGGTGAGTTTCATTCATGGGAAATATTCTGCATGGCAAAGAATAGTAAACAAAGAGTTTAACATTATCTTGCCATCACAACTGACAGCTTTAATAAAGGAGAGATTACAAAGGTGTATTGCAAGTTTTTGCAGACAAAAAAGAAACATCCCTCACTTAGTCCATGATAAGAATCATTCAGAGGACAGGCAGCTGGGGGACAAGGAATCGTAATCTCAAAGATTATAGATATTTTTTCTCAAAACGTACAATTGAATTTGAATAAGGAAAAATAAATAATTTAAATAAGAACACAACAGACACTTTAAATGTGTTTCAAACTATCTATAAGTGACATTTTTGACACACAAAAAATATAAATTATGCAAAGATCCCATTGGAAGCATGAACATATAGCAACACATGAATCTAAAGCATTTGATTGAGCTGATGTTCGACATTTAAGGTTCTTTGAGGTTAAGTAAAGCTAAGAATCCAATTTCAAATTAATGTGCTTTTGGTCCTTTCAGGCCAGAGACCGGAAGGTGGTTGGAGATATGGAAGGAGCCCGGCGCTACGGCTCCACCGCCCGCTGCCTCAACATCTTGGCCTCAGCCCTGGTTTCCATCATGGTCCTTATTATGTTCATCACTGCATGTGTACTGGCCTCCCAAATATACGAGCTCTTAAATTCCCGTTATAGAGGTTAAGTTTCAAGGGCATGAGAGTTTTTCTGCAGCTGTGGCTTGGTGATATTTTCTCTGCTTTACGCTTATGGCTCCAGATTTAACCTATTTACTCATATCATCAAGCAAAACATTGGACTCCTGCATGTTTCCTTCATGACAATTTGTAGTGAGGTTTGGCATTCAGTCTTGGCCTTCCCTGGCATTCCCTGACAAGTCAAGACTTGTCAGACTTGTCAGGGAGTGTTTGTTAATAAATTCCCTGTCGAGGAGAGTTTCATTTGTCAATAAATGTATCACTTTCATAACCCTGAGACGTGCTTCGCAAAACAGTTTGTCATTACACACTTATGTGATTTTTCACTCTTACACAAATTATAGTGTTTTGAAATGTGCACTGTGCTAATCTGTAACCAACAGGGATTTCAAGATCAAGTACTTCACCCAGGAAAGAAACGGGAACAGGGTGTTGGCTACTATTTCCTTTTTCTGACACTTAGTCTTCAAAGGACATTTGTATTCTCAATCAGGCTTTACCATGTTAAATTAAAAAAACGACATACTATTACTGGCACAAGTAACTTTGTACAGAAAATATGTATTTGCAGGGCTGCAAACTCTCACACAATGACTGTGAGACTCATCTATTTAAAGTAATTTCCTGTATATTACTTTACAGGGTAAGTAAGCTCAAATGATGATGTACCACTTCAGTTTTCAACTCAGATTGATTTTTCACATAGGTTTGCTGACATTTTTAATGTATTGGTATTCAGGAAGACCCTGACTATTACAATGCACAATTTAAAAGACAGTTTAAATAACATTATAATATTGTCATAAAAAAGAAAATGTCACAGCAGTAGAAGTTGGATTTATTTTCTGTCGGATATGACTGCGGCTACAGTGGAAGTGCTTTGAAAGAAGGACAAATACATCAAAAACAGCAGCAAAATATGTTTTGGTACAGGTAACCAGGGCCGTCCCTCCCTACAGGCAGATCACGCAGACTGCGTGGGGCCTCACCTTATGGAGGGGGCCTCATCTTGCGGAGGGAGCCTCAACTGAGCTGCACCTATGCGCGCATGCAGCGCAAAGGCTCCACTAGCACCCCCCCCGTCGACGCTAGCGAAACAGAGGGCCCCATCATATAACTTTGCGTGGGCCTCAAGTTGGCCAGGGACGGCCCTGCAGGTAACTAACATTTAATTCTTAAAATGATATGCACAAGTGAACGAACACAAGGAAGCATTCTGAGACTCTGAGATGTACAGTAAAACAGGAGTGAATCAATCCCACAATCACCTCTTTGGAGTAAAAACGTATTTCCAATGGTTCTGATTCAAATAGAGCAGCAACACAATATAACATAACTCTTAATGCCAATGGGAAACTAGCCTCCAGCTTATTGGCCGGCATCTAGTAACTCTTACAAAAGAGGAACTTTGGCAAAAGACGCTTTAATTTAAGTATGACAAACATCAGTGGTTGTATTTAATACAACCACTGCTGCAACCTTTGCTGAGAGAGAGAGCATGATATCGCTCCAGGTCACATGGGATCATTGAGGTCCAATCAGAACCTGCCTCCACCAGAGTCAGCGCAACTTCATCTTTCCATCAGAACTGGCAGGTGGATTTACACATTTTCAAGTTTTTTCATGTGGTGAAGTTAGCTTAACGAAAATATATTAGCTTCGTTATGAGGAATTCAATAACAATTTATTAGCTTTACACAACATTAAAAAAAAGATAAATATTGAATTGCTTCACAATCTTGGTGTTTCCTAAACTTTCAACTGTTGAACTCAACCCACTCTCTTCAGTCTGCGTACATATGACACGACTTTACACATTGGAAATGCGTGCAATAGATACGAAGAGGTCCGATTTTGCGTGCATATGATACGCCAACCATTCCCATTGAGTTCTGAGTCCGAGTTTTGCGTGCATATGATACGCCACGTTTCGTGCCTGCATCACGTCTTTTTGTCCGGTCCAACACTCTCACTCCATAAACGTCCAGGAGTGACGCTTGGTCAGGGTCCCGAGGCGTGCAGTTGGGACGCTCCTAGGCTCCTTCAGCTTCATAAACAGACGCAAATAGCTTTCAACTGATTGCAATGTATTCCCATCTGCGGCGGGATTTGACGCTCATGGAAGCACGGCATTCGTTTGTGTCGGCGGCTGTTAAAGGCAATGTGAGCGTCCATTCCCATTGGATAACGGAGAATTGTACACCCGGAAATAAGTATTCCCCTTACTGTCGATTGATTTGACAGTGATATCTCCACTATTCATCAACTCAAAAACACCAGATTATCCTCGTTAATTAAACGACATTGATAGGTTTTAGTGTACAATGCTTTTGTCACGTTTTCCCCTTCAATTCTGAGAAACAAGTAGTTTTGATGGTCACACATGCAGAGCACACAGCACACACAGTGACATTTGTATCTACAGATAAATATTAAGCCTGACAAAGTACTTAACGTCTAATATATTGCTTTCCTGCAATGTTAACTATGTTTAAGCACTTATTTTAACTGATATTATACATATGTATTATACTCCTATAAGATGTATGTAGATAGCATAAGAAATGTGCAGAATATGACAATGGAGGTACACACATATTGATAGATGTCTTGTAATGCACTGTTGAGGAACCTGCGACCCAAGTTTTTAATTCATTGCATAACTACACCGTAGTTGTGCATAATATGATATGTCAATAAACCTTAGAAAATCTTGAAATCTTGAAAGGGATGTGCAAAATAGTCATTATCAATCAATAACGACGAGTAAAGAATATACTTTATAGGGATCCTATTAATATCTAATAATACAATTATAAAATGCAATAACGTGCTTTAACCAGTAGGTGTCCCTTTCTATCAGCTGTGCACCGTTATGGCGTAAATACACCCTATCTACCAATTGGATCAAATATAAAAGTCAGCCGAATTAGTGTTGATACTGCAAGGAGACGTATTGTGTGAAAAGCAATGTAAGATGTTGTTTAATTGCTTATATATTTAAGATCCACGTCAAGTTTTCAGTTTTGGCGACAGTTCCTCTTTGTCTAGAAGTGTTCTCATCAGGGCTCTATAAATAGAGTTAACTACGGCAGATATGTAATATTTAATGCAGCCGAAACGTGTATTACAATGCCGTTATGTGATGACTTTCAAAGAGAAAAGCAAGCACACTCGGAATAATGTATTATTTAATTTTTTTTAAATGTTTTCGGATTTCACATCGCATAAACACCAAATCCCAGCGTGCATAGCGGAATATCAGTATGAGAAAAACGGCATCATCTGTCCTTTGACCCTCACATCATACAAGGAAAAACTTCCAGAGAAAAACCCACAGTTAATATACACACATTCCTTCACATTTACATTTTAATTTACATTAAAGTATTTCGTGAGGCCTTCTAACATGTTTTTAAATATAACTACGGTTGTAGTTGAAGAGTTTGTAAATTAACATGAACCGAAGCTGTTGCCTGTTGCAATATACAGTCTATGGTTGCTACAGAGGATTGTGGGTAATGTAATGTCTTCGGCCATCCACAACTCATAGAAAACTACTTGTTTCTCAGAATTGAAGGGGAAAACGTGACAAAAGCATTGTACACACACTAAAACCTATCAATGTCGTTTAATTAACAAGGATAATCTGGTGTTTTTGAGTTGATGAATAGTGGAGATATCACTGTCAAATCAATCGACAGTAAGGGGAATACTTACTTCCGGGTGTACAATTCTCCGTTATCCAATGGGAATGGATGCTCACATTGCCTTTAACAGCCTCCGACACAAACGAATGCCGTGCTTCCATGAGCGTCAAATCTCGCCGCAGATGGGAATACATTGCAATCAGTTGAAAGCTATTTGCGTCTGTTTATGAAGCTGAAGGAGCCTAGGAGCGTCCCAACTGCACGCCTCGGGACCCTGACCAAGCGTCACTCCTGGACGTTTATGGAATGAGAGTGTGTTGGTTTTGCACATCCTCCTATTAATATCTTTGTACATCCGGCACTAAACTGTTTTATTCTAGATACCATTTACAGTATCTTCTAGCTATTTTCTATTCTATATTTCTATCGTTGACCTTCTACTTTCCTCCTATTTTGTATATACTCTTAATATTTAAATGTTTTCATAAAATATAACACATTCAAAAGTGCTTTAAAAAAATGAAAGACATTAAGAAAAAGGCATTTTAAACAGTCATTAAAAAGCAACACAATCTACCTGCATTGCAATTACTCTAAACGTGTAATAACGTGCTTTAACCAGTAGGTGGTTTGGGTTAAAAAGCTGTCAAGTTTACAGTGTTACCAAAATAAAATATACTGCTGTTTCTGGTTTAGTTTACGACGGATATATTTAGTTATTGTTTTGATATTTGTAACACAAAAGCGATGGAAAAAACCCACAGCAACACAGAAAAGATGGTCTTAACATGACCCAGCGGTCTAAAAACAATAATATCAAAACAAATTATTACTACTAACTTTATTGTGAAATTAAAACAGAACGGTAAAAGAATAGTTTCCGGTCTATTCTGATGCCCGACAGATGTGTAATATTTAATGCAGCCGAACCATTTATTACAATGCATTCATGTGATGACTTTCAAAGAGTAAAGCAAGCACTGCTGAATAAAGTATGATTTTATCTTTTACGAAACGTTTTTTTTCATGGTTGGAGGTCAACCAATCACAGAGCTTGAGAACTAATCACGGGGTTTGTCAAACAAAGCACATGCTGTAGTCCTAAATGATAGCTGAGGATTCTGGGTAGTGTAGTGTCTTCTGCCATCCTAAACTCCGAAAAAATATTTGTTTCTCCGAATCGAAGGGGAAAAATACAAAAGCATTGCACACAATTTAAACCAATCAATGTTGTGTAATTAACAAGGATAATCTGGTGTTTTTTATTTGATGAGTAGTGCAGATATCACTGTCAAATCAATCGACAGTAAGGAGAATAGTTACTTCCGGGTGTACAATTATCCGTTATCCAATGGGAATGGACACTCACATTGCCTTTAAGGGCCGCCGACATGGACCGATGCGGTGCTTCCCTGAGCGTCAAATACCGCCGCCGATGGGAATACATTGCAATCAGTTGAAAGCTCTTTGCGTCCATTTATGAAGCTGGAGGAGCCTCGGCGCGTCCCAACTGCACGCCACGGGACCCTGACCAAGCGTCGCTCCTGGACGTTTAGGGAGTGAGAGTGTGTTGGTTCCTATGCGCATCTTGTTAGAGATCATGGATGTTGTTCCTGAAATGTTCTGATGCCATTTCCAAGTTTAGGGGTCACTGCCCCGAATGCTCCTACACTCTAAAAACAAATGCTTTGGCTCAACAAAGAAAATCAATGCAACAGTTTGCATCAATGTTTATTGAGTTATGACAACTTTTAATGAAATTGTGTTAAACCAACAAACTTATTTGAGTTAGAGGAGAAGGCTTTTCCTCTACAATCAGAGGTGTTTTCAATTAACACTTACTTAATAATTGGTAGCATAAACACACGTTTTTTACTCCAAAAATGTAGTTGTTCCAACTAGTTTTACCACATTATTTAAAAGGAATTTTAAGTTATATATAATTTATTACAATCATTGTGAACACAAGTTTTTAAGTTGACAACCATTTATAAATTCATTTGCTCCAAATATATTGTATTCAATATTTATTTTTTTAGCTTTTTCATGTTTTTGGCTTTAAAGAAAGAAATTAATTAATTCCACAACAAAAATGTTAGGCAATTCACTTTTTTATTTTGAACTGCAGTTGATTATTTCAACACATGATATTTCAATCAGGAGAGACTTCATTTTGTTTGAACATTTATTGACACATGTCTTATGATAAATGTTAAGTCTTTGGCGATTAGACCCCGATCCTGAAATCGTATATCTAAAGGGGGAAATGCAGCCGTGAGCATATAGGGAACCCCCCCAGGGTCTATCACTGGTGATGATGCTGAAGATCTGGATTTGATGAGGAGATGGGATGAAGAGGAGGTGTGATGAGGTCTTTGGATTAGCTCTCCTGGCACTGGATATGATGAAAGGAGGTGGATGGGGAGGAGGCGGGCGGCAGCATGAAAACCTGAAATCACAGCTGACTGCAGGAGAGAGGAGAACCATTTTAAAGTTTGGCTGCAGCACAGTGATTGGCTGCTGGAGAATGAGGTGAAATGTAATAGGTTAAAGAGAATGCCTGTGTTGACGAGCTGATTATATGCAGCTGCGGAGTGAATGTATAAACACCCAGTCTTCCTGAAAGAACTTGCGCTGAGCTTCATTTAAATCTTGAGAAAAAAAAGATAAATAACACAAATTTAAATTGCCCCACAAATAATAAATAAACACATTAGCCATATTACCATGGGAAATGGGGACACAGCAAATAAATGCTGCCATCACATCGAAGTTAGAGGCCTTTGCATATTTAAAACCAGTGCCAGATATGTAAAATCTGTAACGTTTTTGTAAAACTACAGTAACAAACTCTCAATGGCCACCAATCTGCAGATCACACACATCAATTTTACAAAAGATGTAACAAAGATGTTTACACTGCCGACAGTCATTATTTTAAACAGTATGAAAAAATGTAACGCAGAATGCTTGCTCATTCATTTGTTTCCCTCGACCACGATGGTTGCCACCGTATGGTCAGATTGGGGTGGACCGGTCACTGATGATGGCGATATTCATGTCCTTTTGAAGCACATTAAATAATAGGTTAGCGCATAAGAGATAATGAATTAGGTAATTGCATACTTTTTAAACTGTCACTCTTAGCGAATTCAGAGCCATTATTACCAGCTGCTAAAGCAACGCTGGGATTGTTTTCACCTATTGAGTCTGCATGTGTGTGTCATCATCGCAATGTGGTCCTGAAGACACACAGAGGTGGTTTTGAGTACTTACCTGCCTAGTGTTTAAATGCATGTGGACAGATTTTGTCAATCACAACCGTGCAAGTTTTAGTGTACCTTCTCATCTTTTTAGCAGGTTCCATACAATATTTCAACTGGTAAAGTGCAGAGCAGAAGCCACTTTTCAAATTTTACACAATCAAATTTTTCCCATGCCATTGCTGTCAACACTTATCCATGCTGAACGTTGCTAAGATATTATTGATTGGGGTGTGGCCAAAAGTGCAATATGCTTCAAAATGTAACTGACAGAGAGCAGTGCTTTTGTCACTGTGCCCATGGATTTAATTTTATTTCAATATTTTTAATTACGTTGCTAAACTCCTTGAAAAGGTCCTCTTCCTTTTCTCCAAGGTACACGACAAGGCAGCGGATGGCTAGTTCTCTGCGTACTTCAATTGTATTGTGCTATTTTTGAAAAAGGAAAAAAAGAGAAATGACCTAAATTAATATATTCTGAATGGGTGACTGCCAACAACTTGCATTTCAATGACAACTCTAAATAACGATCCTACCTCAAGAAGCATGTCCTTGATCTGCTTCACCAAGCATTTTTTTAAATAAAAAGTTATATCACAATAGTAACCAAAGTATTTTTACACTCACAGTAGCCTCTACTACTTTGTACCCTCTCACAGAACTATTCACAGTTCAAAGGCTGGTAATTTTGGTCAAACAGCAATTTGCCTATACAGTGCAACTACAAGGCTATCTACTATATTTGAATGACAACAGATGACACTCACCTTAAAAATGTCCTTTGTATAGTATTTCTATTTGTATTAACTGTCGGAACTTGTCCAGGCATGTTACTGTAAGTGGGAGTGGACTTGAAATCCTTAACTCAAGGTGTAGAACAATTAAGTTATCAAGCCAATTGCATTACTTACTACAACTATAATTTTGTTTTAAGTCAATTAACGCATACATCCGAGTTTAAATTACACACAATATTAAGTTGATGTAATTACCAACATTATTACGTCAACACAACTTATAAATTAATGTTTGCAACTTAAAATGTTTATCTAAATCAATTAATTCAAATTTGTATCTTGCAACCATGCATTTAATTAAGTGGTGGTAAAAGGTCCCCTGAATGACTTTTTAGACTGTATACATGCAAGGGTGTGCAATAAACATATACCATCAGTTGGAGAGTATGACCATTTGAGCCGGGGACGCTACAGTCAGCATCTACCTGACAGCATTACATTGACCACTGAAGGAAATTAAATATATGAGAGTTTAAAACGGAGTACATTTGTGAAGTGTTACAATATCATTAGAGCTCACTTACCCTTTAATGTAATGTATTACATGTCTTTAAATGGTTGAGTCTGATGGTCAATGTGTTAGAGTTGGCAGCCCTGCAAAAACATATTTTCTGTACGAAGTTATTCTGAGCACTTCATGCAGTGTTAATACAATGCATGGAGTGCTTAGAATAAGAGTGTTTCAGCTGAGTTAGCAGGACAGTTAAAGTAGTAACAGTTATAGACAATAACATTTCAATAGTACACCAAAAATAGTAGAATATGGAAATAGTACCATACACTCAGTTCCCTTTTCTTCTTTGGGTGGGGTTCTTTATTTTGAAAACACCATCTGTTACAGTTTAGCACAAAATGAAACTGTTGCCGACAGGGAAATAGAATTTATTAGGTAACTCTTGCAAGAATTACTACACATTGTCATTATGGAAACATACAGGAGTTCCATTTAAGACTTTTGTAACAAAAATAAAAACGTTTTGCTTGAAGATATAAGTAAAACGTTTAAAACAGTAGCCATAACCGCAAAGCAGATAAAGAGAATTATCACCAAGTCACAGCTTCAGAAAACACTCTGCCCTTTCAAATTCAACCTCCATACAGAGGTACAGTGTCTCGAGGATAGTTTATCTAATAATTGACAAAAATGATGGTGGGAATAAAGCAAATAAGGAACAGGATGGGACCCAGGACTGTGGCCAAGATGTTGAGGCGGCGGGCGGTGGAGCCGTAGCGTCGGGCTCCTTCCATATCTCCAACCACCTTCCGGTCTCTGGCCTGAAAGGACCAAAAACACATACATTTTAAGTGGATTCATAGATTTTCTAAAACTTAAATGCAATTTTTTATCTCTTTATCTCTTTCCCCATAAGAAATGTTCTGTGTCTGATTCCATCTTTTGAAGTGTCCGTAGTCCTTTTATAGTTTCTTTTTTTACAACTTTTTAGTGTTTCTTTTTTTAAATAATACGTTCTAACCCTACATCTTAAGTATTCAAGATTAACAATTCTGGTTCTGCAACTGCCTGCCAATAACAAACACATTTTGTTTGCATTATTCTTTAATTAATAGGCCATAAAATAATATTACCCATGTATGAAACTCACCTTGATGGAGTAGATGAAGGCCGCCAGTCCGAGGCCGAAGGGGTGTAGAAAGCAGCAGAGGGACCAGATGATGTGGTCCCTGGGGGGCTCAGGGGGGACGCTCACAGATGTGTACTGAACCACTGTAGATACTCCAGGGTGTCCCTGAACCACTGTAGATACTCCAGGGTGTCCCTGAACCACTGGGTATCTCCCCTGCAATGGGATATTCTCAGGTGGGTAACCTGCAGGATACATGGCTGTCAGCTCAACTACAGTTTGAGGTGCGACTAGCAGACAAGCTGAGCAACTCACAGTGTCACGGTGGTCAGTGTGGGTTTTTCTTTTTAAGCTGGGTGCTTTACGTAGCGCGGCCCGAAAACCAATGAGACAAACGCATAGGCAACCTACTTGGGTTGGCTGTTGCTGCACAAGGAACATACGATTTGCTTTCTTAAAAATAAGGTCTGAAGAGTCTTGATGCACACTTTTGTTCCTCAAGGCAATTAGCAAAGGAAAAAGAGTTGCTGCCAAAAGAAAAATACACGATAATGTAATAAGCAATTTACAATACAGCTTGGTAATAAAATGGTATTGGCTTTGTTCTCGCCCCACTCGTTCTTCATTCCTTGCAGGTTGTGAGCAGTATCTTAGCTGTTCCTAGGACTGTGCTCATCTGGATAGAGATCATGGATGTTGTTCCTGAGATTTTCTGATGCCATTTCCAAGTTTAGGGGTCACTGCCCCGAGTGCTCCGATCACCACTGGAACCTCTGTTGCCTTCACCTTCCACATATTCTCTAGCTCCTCTCTGAGCCCTTGGTATTACCCAAGCTTCTCATGATACTACGTCCTGATGTTGCCATCACTTCAGATTGCTATGTCTATCACAACTGCTGCTTAAACACTGAGGTGGGGTCAGACAACACAAACATATTTTTCTGGAAAGTAGTTTCAAAACCCACAAGCCTTTCTACGGTCTTGGCAGGAAACCCACTCAATCAGTTTTGCTATATCACTTAATAAAACACACTGAAATGATACGTTTTAAGTCAATTAGCTCAATTAAAATGTAAATGTATCTTTGAATACTGTTTTAAAAGATCCATGAAGACAAACCTGCTTTAGAAAGACGGCGAGAACAGAAGAAATGGAGACAAATAGAAGCTGCTGAAAGGCTTTGATTACAATTGAATTAAATATGACAAGCACTAATTACACATCTCATTTGAAAGAGTTTAAGAACTCTAACAATAATATAAAAACAGTTTACATTCAGAAGAACATTTGAAAGTAAATACAAAACTAGCAGATGACATGTACAAACCTTGAATATTGATGCACTGTTTGAGATCTGTGTGCTCTCTTCTCAGGATAAAGGGATTTAAAGTTCAACTGAAAGGTGAATCTGCAATAATCAGACTCCAAACTTCATATTTCGTAATATGCTGTTAAACCACAACAGTGGGAATTTTTGGACAGTGTTTAATTGTAATACCATTTATATCAGAACTTATAGATTTAATGTCAATGAACATCTTAACAATGGTATTAAAGTATAGTCTCTGTCTACAGAAGAATAAGTGTTGAACTACAACATCAAGCAGAGCATTTCATAACTGGTTCTCGTGATTTAAGGTTAAAATAATCTGTATTTGGTAGTCATCAACACACAAAAGGCACTAAAGATTTAGCAGTAATGGATATAAATTCCTCATCTTGATACTTGCTCCTCATAAATTGCATATAATGAGTAGGGCAGATGACCATAAGCAAGCAAGCTTTATAGTTAGACTGACAAAGGGTTTCCAGAGCCATTTGTACTAAATAAAATATAGCTTTTCATGATTACTGAGGGAAAACTAACCATAAGAGAAAAACATTTTGAATACATCTGATTACTTTATATTGAAGTTTAAGATTATAGTTGGAGGATTACAACATAGTAGTACACACACAACCTGAGGATTTATAGCAAACAATCATATCTCATCATGCCCTCTGTGGACATTTACAGTAAGGCTTCACATCAATGGCCGAGGCTCCTGGGCGGCTGTAAACGTGCACTTCTGTGTTCTGAAAAACACAAAAGTGGAGAAGAGAGAGAAAGAGGATATTATTTAAATGAACATACAGTAAGATACATGGCATATTCAAGCTTAACTGGTGGCATTATGAAATATGTAATAAAGAGAAATCACAAATTAACATTTCATCCAATCTAAACATCTATACATGGATGGACTGTTACTCAACACTGGATTAGACCTCACAGCGAGAGTGTTTACCTTCTTGTTCTTGGCGTTGTACTTGTTGAGAAGGCTCTGAACGCGGTTGCCATAGTCTGCATGAACAGCCTTCAAGTTCTCCACCTGCATGAAGAACCACAGTGAGACTTTAGGCTTTGAAAACAGGTTTTCTAAACTGAAACCAAACCATTATCTGCCAAAGTCAGGGCCATTTGTTTCTTCTCATGAGAACACGAAACTCTTGTCCTCTGTAGTATTCTTGCTTTGTCACGTTCTTCTGTGCACCATTCAGGATTTATCAAGTCGATGTGTAGGTGTGGTACAAAGAGAACGAAATACCGTGTCCCACCGTCCCAAAGATAAAAATATACAGTATAAAAAAAATATATACATGACACAACAATAAATATATAAAAATAGCAGTCACGTAGACAAAATGGATGAACATATGAGAATGAATGAATCTATGACAAGTCAACAATTCCATCACAATTTCATCATAGTTGGTGGGTTTTTTACAATTGTGTTGTGAAGGGAGTGTTAAAGTAAAAACTACAAAAAAATACATCTTAAAAAATCTTATTATTTATTGTTGTAGAGAAATACTTTGAGAGAGAATTGAACCACGTTGGTTTCAAACTTTTTTTCAACATCCAACTTCATAGTTTGTAATAGGAAAAATAAATTGGTCAAATGTGGTAGATTGTTTTTGCAAAGTGGAACGAGGAAGCATGAACACCGTGCACAGAGGGTGATTTACCCACTTCCACACAAGCCACAGGGTTCCAGTCACTGTGGTGAGCTGACAGTTTGAGAGCGTAGGGGCAGCTTGAGAGAAAGTACTGAATAATGAACTCTTTAAATGTTACTGTATTAGTTTATATGGGTTTGGTAGTTCTCTGCATGCTGCTATGGTGAACCAAAACAAAACATCTGGTTGCTTTGCTTCTGTTGTCATATTTGCATTGTTGTATTTATTTTAAATCATAATTATGTAGATGAAATACTGATTCAGTGCTAGGGTTGGGCATACAGAAACAGTTCGTAGTTTGATTCAAAAGATCGCTAGAGAATTTTATTTAGATTTCTGGTTCCTTAACAAATGTGCCGTGCACCATAGTACGCAGTTTGTTTTTTGGCCTCCTTTCTGTACTTCACACAGCAGCACACCCTTATTGGACTGCACTGAATGTTGTTATTTATTTAATTTTTTGTTTAAACTCATATTGACTTCCATTTCATAATTGAAGTAAACAAGCCTGCTGTGTATCTCTCACTGCGGCATGCTGTTTTGCAACCCTGAGACGGTCAGACAGGCAGAGCGAAGACAGTAGCGTTTCCAGAGAAACACAAACTATAACTTTCGTTTTGACTTTTGCATGCACTGGCTGAGGGTGCAGTATTAACTGGCAAAATGTGATGAAACCTGTTTTCCGGCAGTTTTCAGTGTAACAGTAGAGGAGACCAGTGGCAGTTGCCACACCATGAATTGCATAAATCAGAACTAACATGTGAATGAAACAAAATTAACAAATGATTATTGAATCATATATTTTAATAGAATCAACCAAAAAAAGACGGTATTAAATGTATTTACATGATCCAAAAGCCTTATCAAGTGAATTGTGTGTATGATGTGTCCCTCACCAACCCTATTCAGTGGATTGACCGGATTAAAGACCCAATGGGAAACTGAAGTCACTGTGAACATCACTCTATATAAATCTGCTTTACAATCTTAACAGCCAGACTCTTTAGGTTCTCAGCATAAAGTAGGTCACTGTTTCCAAAGTAAGTAATTGAAGATTTATTCAGTAACTCTGCACCACCTTACCCTAAAAGCTTTAAAAACCTGTCCTTTTGTGTTGCCTTCTAATGTATTTATTTTACATCAGAATTATCTCTATAGGATTTAATAAAAGGAGCATATACAGACTTAGTTTGTTTTCATGTGTGTGTGTAAGACACATTGAAAGTGCTTTGTGTGAGGAACCTTGCAACATAAATACGCCTGCCTACACCCACAAAGCTACACGGTTCAGAGCACAGGCTCCGGGGAACATTTGGTGTTTTAAAACGCTACATCCTGTGGTTTCATCATGGAACAACTGGCATTGTTTTCTTTTCTTTTGGGTAACTAATATAAATGCTTCGATTAAAAGTTAACTGATTTCACTACTGGATACTTTTTAAAAAATCTTCACATGGTCATTCAATCAAAAATCCACGTGTAAATCATAACAGAGTGAAACACTGTGTGTAGTAAAGTGTACCAGGCGCTTTTGGATGAAGAGCTGTGCTCCCTTCAGGGCCCCGGCCATGTTCTGGCAAAGTCTCTGCAGCTCCTCTTCGCTCAGCACCTGCGTGTAGAAGGTGCGAACCTGCAAAGAGAGTAGATAAAATCCTTGAAAACCTGATCATAAGGGTTCAATTAGATTACATACATTATAGTCATCTAAATTGGGCTTTATTTTTGTCACAGCAGCATGTAAACAGGCATTACACTAATTAAAAATGTATTATATTGAAAAATAACCGAAAATAAACCAAAAAATAGACCACTGTAAATATGTACATATCAACTGTAGAAAATATATATATATCAATAGAGTATATCAAGAAAACACAATATAAAATGTACAAAATAACTTAAACCTCTGTGGTAGTCCAAGCTACTTCACATTATCAAATAAAGTGTGATTGATTCAGATTTTTATACAGACTTGCATTTGAAAAAGATTTTGTAAACTGGGATCCTATTTCCACAAACTAGTGCAGGGTAAGGGTAAAACCCGGGCCATGTTGATTTTCTATTTCACTTGCGCCACCATTGTAACCACTGGCCCAGAAGCATTTGTCAAAAATTGACCCCAATAATAAAGACAATTAACACATCATACAACCAGCACAGCCCCTAGTAGTAAATTATTTACAAATTAGATAACAATTCCATGAGTTCTTCCTCATTTTCCTGCTCGGCATATTCTCAATTTTTTCCTGTAAGCCTGCATCTATATAGTTTATAGTCTCCAGCAAACACAGCGGGGGTTTCTTTTGCTGCCTCTTCACACACAACTTGTGTGAGGCGCTCTTATCATGAGGGTTAAACCCTGCGGAGCGAATACTACAGAATAACTAACTACTATACATGTATATAAAGCAATGGTTGGCGGGTGGCAAAACTAGGTGTGATACTAGAAGGCATTGACGGAAGAGCTAAGAAATATCTCCTACAAATACAATTAAGTGGTTAAAGCCTGACCCCCCAACATTCAATGTTGGACTGAGAATGTCCAATCTATCAGATGGAGCAAACAACTTATGCTCTAAGGATCCAGACAGACATATTTCGCAAAAGGTGGAGCCACGCCACAACTGTGCTGATCCAGCAAGCACACACACACACAACTACACACAACTAAAACACACACATGGATGACCACCTGCCCCCCCCTTTGCTGTTTTACTTTATTATTATTATTTGTATGTATTTATCTATATGTCTATTTTATTATTATTATTTGTATTGATCTCTTTTTTTCTTTTTCTTATGTTGGCTAGTATAAAAATGTGAACATGTATGTTTAATGAAACTGAATCTGAAATAAAAACTAAGTTAAATAAATAAATAAATAATTATTATTATATTGTGGTTATTGTTAAATGTAATTAAATACCCCACTGATGGGTAGGACGGTGACATTTCAGACTATTATTGTTTGTATAATGCACTTACGGCTTGCCTGTCATTGTCAGGAGGTAGAAATATAATTGCTACGTAATTGACTATTGTTTGTTTTCTCTGCCTCAATGGAAAGATGTTTTTTTTGGTGCAAAAATAATGTTTACAAGCATGTTGCAAACTTTTTCCGACTGCTCTTTGTTAGTGGGCAGGAAGTGGATTGAACACAGCTTTTGGTTGAACACTAACAAAAGCAGAGGGAGGAAAGCTGAGTGGAGCGGCAGAGGTTGTTGATAAATATCTGTGGGTTTTCTATGATCGCACCTCTGACACAAGTAGCCATTTCATCTATTGTTGACACAAAATATATTGGTAAATGCAGCTTTAAAAAAATATGTTGGAATGGAAAACAGAGATTCCCTTAGTAAGTCTCTGTATACAGTAAAGCATAATACAAATAATGTCATGGCTTTTGTTGGCTTCCTTAAAGGACCCCTATTATACTGTTTTTCATCAATATATTATAGGTCTCAGATATATACAAAACATGTCTCTGAAGTGTTTGGCTCGAATTGCAGCATCCCATAATCCCCTCTGTTTCAGCCCTGTTTCAAAAGAGCTGATTCTCTGTCTGTTACTTTAGATGAAAATAAGGAGCCACTCCCCACGCCCTTCTGAGAGATATTTGGTTAAAAAGAACACAATGGTGCTCTAGGCGATTCAGGTGATAAGGTGGGGGGGGGGGGGTTACCTTGGTTGGTTATTGGCTAATGGTTACACCAAAACATCGTTATGACATCATAAAGTGGCCAAAATCAGATCAGCTCATCTTCAGACGGGTTTATATAAATGGATCAGGACAAAAAGTGAGCAAATGTTTTTTCCTGAAACTTTCGGAATCTCTTTACACAGAGGGGACACATGTTTATGTATAAAATACATTAAAAAGTGGATTTTGCATAATAGGTGACCTTTAAAAGGTAATGTTTCATGATTTATTGTCAGTAGTAGCTGTAATTGCATTATTTAGTTTTTATTTGAAATGTAACGTTAACAAATGCAAGGAATGGAATTTTTTTTATTTTTGACAGCTAATTATTGTATTTTTTTCATTTTATAGCTCTTACGTTGGTATTGATTGTATACTTGCAAGGGTGTGCAATAAACATATACCATCAGTTGGAGAGTATGACCATTTGAGCCGGGGACGCTACAGTCAGCATCTACCTGACAGCATTACATTGACCACTGAAGGAAATTAAATATATGAGAGTTTAAAACGGAGTACATTTGTGAAGTGTTACAATATCATTAGAGCTCACTTACCCTTTAATGTAATGTATTAAATGTCTTTAAATGGTTGAGTCTGATGGTCAATGTGTTAGAGTTGGCAGCCCTGCAAAAACATATTTTCTGTACAAAGTTATTCTGAGCACTTCATGCAGTGTTAATACAATACATTGAGTGCTTAGAATAAGAGTGTTTTAGCTGAGATAGCAGGACAGTTAAAGTAGTAACAGTTATAGATAATAACATTTCAATAGTACACCAAAAAAAGTAGAATAAGGAAATAGTAGCATACACTCAGTTCCCTTTTCTTCTTTGGGTGGGGTTCTTTATTTTGAAAACACCGTCTGTTGGGAATTTGAATTTATTAGGTAAGTCTTGCAAGAATTACTACAAATTGTCATTATGGAAACATACAGGAGTTCCATTTAAGACTTTTGTAAGAAAAAGAAAAACGTTTTGCTTGAAGATATAAGTAAAACGTTTAAAACAGTAGCCATAATCGCAAAGCAGATAAAGAGAATTATCACCAAGTCACAGCTTCAGAAAACTCTCTGCCCTTTCAAATTCAACCTCTATAGCGATAATCGTATGAGTTGTAGTAGTAGTAGTTGTTGTTTTGCACAGAGACAGTAATTGTGATAATAAGGCAAATAAGGAACATGATGGAAGCCAGGACTGTGGCCGAGATGTTGAGGCGGCGGGCGGTGGAGCCGTAGCGTCGGGCTCCTTCCATATCTCCAACCACCTTCCGGTCTCTGGCCTGAAAGGACCAAAAACACATACATTTTAAGTGGATTCATAGATTTTCTAAAACTTAAATGCAATTTTTTATCTCTTTCCCCATAAGAAATGTTCTGTGTCTGATTCCATCTTTTGAAGTGTCCGTAGTCCTTTTATAGTTTCTTTTTTTACAACTTTTTAGTGTTTCTTTTTTTTAAATAATACGTTCTAACCCTACATCTTAAGTATTCAAGATTAACAATTCTGGTTCTGCAACTGCCTGCCAATAACAAAAAAATGTTTTTTGCATTATTCTTTAATTAATAGGCCATAAAATAATATTTCCCATGTATGAAACTCACCTTGATGGAGTAGATGAAGGCCGCCAGTCCGAGGCCGAAGGGGTGTAGAAAGCAGCAGAGGGACCAGATGATGTGGTCCCTGGGGGGCTCAGGGGGGACGCTCACAGATGTGTACTGAACCACTGTAGATACTCCAGGGTGTCCCTGAAACACTGTAGATACTCCAGGGTGTCCCTGAACCACTGTAGATACTCCAGGGTGTGCCTGAACCACTGTAGATACTCCAGGGTGTCCCTGAAACCCTGGGTATCTCCCCTGCAATGGGATATTCTCAGGTGGGTAACCTGCAGGATACATGGCTGTCAGCGCAACTACAGTTCGAGGTGCGACTAGCAGACACGCTGAGCAACTCACAGTGTCACGGTGGTTAGTGTGGGTTTTTCTATGCTGGGTGTTACGCAACCTACTTGGGTTGGCTGTTGCTGCACAAGGAACATACGATTTGCTTTCTTAAAAATAAGGTCTGAAGAGTCTTGATGAACACTTTTGTTCCTCAAGGCAATTAGCAAAGGAAAAAGAGTTGCTGCCAAAAGAAAAATACACTATAATATAATTAGCCATTTACAATACAGCTTGGAAATAAAATGGTATTGGCTTTGTTCTTGCCCCACTCGTTCTTCATTCCTTCAGCCCTGCAGCCTCCACCAAAGGCCTGAGGGTTCTGAGCAGTATCTTAACTGTTCCTAGGACTGTGCTCATCTGGATAGAGATCATGGAGGTTGTTCCTGAGATTTTCTAATGCCATTTCCAAGTGTTGGGGTCACTGCCCCAAGTGCTCCTATCACCATTCGAACCTCTGTTGCCTTCACCTTCCAAGATCCATGAAGACAAACCTGCTTTAGAAAGACGGCGAGAACAGAAGAAATTGAGACAAATAGAAGCTGCTGAAAGGCTTTGATTACAATTGAATTAAATATGACAAGCACTAATTACACATCTCATTTGAAAGAGTTTAAGAACTCTAACAATAATATAAAAATAGTTTACATTCAGAAGAACAAAACTAGCAGATTACATGTACAACCCTTAGATATTGATGCACTGTTTGAGATCTGTGTGGTCTCTTCTCAGGATAAAGGGATTTAAAGTTCAACTGAAAGGTGAATCTGCAATAATCAGACTCCAAACTTCATATTTCGTAATATGCTGTTTTTGGACAGTGTTTAAGTTCATACCATTTTAGATCAGAACATGTGGATTTACTGTTAATGAACATCTTAACAATGGTATTAAAGTATAGTCTCTTTCTACAGAAGAATAAATGTTGAACTACAACATCAAACAGAACATTTCATAACTGGTTCTCGTGATTTAAGGTTAAAATAATCTGTATTTGGTAGTCATAAACACACAAAAGGCACTAATGATTTAGCAGTAATGGATATAAATTCCTCATCTTGATACTTGCTCCTCATAAATTGCATATAATGAGTAGGGCAGATGACCATAAGCAAACAAGCTTTATAGTTAGACTGACAAAGGGTTTCCAGAGCCATTTGTACTAAATAAAATATAGCTTTTCATGATTACTGAGGGAAAACTAACCATAAGAGAAAAACATTTTGAATACATCTGCTTACTTTATATTGAAGTTTAAGATTATAGTTGGAGGATTACAACATAGTAGTACACACACAACCTGAGGATTTATAGCAAACAATCATATCTCATCATGTTTTTTGGCAGCAGTTGGGGTTAATTGATGTAATGAGATCAAATCAGAATGCAAAAGACATACTTTTATTATTACTTTAAAGAACTTTTAAATGTTAAAAGTCCAGATGTCATAAGTGCCATGCTTTTGGTATTAACAGGATTAAACTAAAAACAAATCAAGGTGTTTTTATGTTTTTTTTAATGACTTTTCAGTCGAGACAAATTAAGCTCACAGGGTTTTAGATAGATAGATAGATAGATAGTATAGTATATAGATAGATTTCTAACAAGTATTTTAAAGAAAATCAACAGTTTAACTGAATTAAAACCTAACTAACCCCAACCTGAAACTATATGGTTCATAAGTTTGATCTTGTCACTGGTAGTAGCAGTTGGCAATCACGCAAGTGCATTTGCTCGTAGATAAATGATGGGGGGCCCTGTGGAAATGTAAGGCTTCACATCTTGGCGGCGATGGCCGAGGCTCCTGGGCGGCTGTAAACGTGCACTTCTGTGTTCTGAGAAAGACAAATGTGGAGAAGAGAGAGAAAGAGGATATTATTTAAATGAACATAAGTTACATGGCATGTTAATAATAATAGATTTATTTTGTAAGCGCTTTTACAGGTGCTCAAAGTCGCTTTACAGAGATAGTGAAAAGAAAAGAACAAAAAATAAATATAGTTGAAGTCAAATTAAAATCAAGCAATATAACAACAATCACACATGCACACATATGCAACCTGAACTGGTGGCATTATGAAATATGTAATAAAGACAAATCACAAATTAACATTTCATCCAATCTAAACATCTATACATGGATGGACTGTTACTCAAAACTGGATTAGACCTCACAGCGAGAGTGTTTACCTTCTTGTTCTCGGCGTTGTACTTGTTGAGAAGGCTCTGAACGCGGTTGCCATAGTCTGCATGAACAGCCTTCAAGTTCTCCACCTGCATGAAGAACCAGACAGTGAGACTTTAGGCTTTGAAAACAGGTTTTCTAAACTGAAACCAAACCATTATCTGCCAAAGTCAGGGCCATTTGTTTCTTCTCATGAGAACACGAAACTCTTGTCCTCTGTAGTATTCTTGCTTTGTCACGTTCTTCTGTGCACCATTCAGGATTTATCAAGTCGATGTGTATGTGTGGTACAAAGAGAACGAAATACCGTGTCCCACCGTCCCAAAGATAAAAATATACAGTATAAAGATATATACATGACACAACAATAAATATATAAAAATAGCAGTCACGTAGACAAAATGGATGAACATATGAGAATGAATGAATCTATGACAAGTCAACAATTCCATCACAATTTCATCATAGTTGGTGGGTTTTTTACAATTGTGTTGTGAAGGGAGTGTTAAAGTAAAATCTACAAACAAAATACATCTTAACAAAATCTTGTTATTTATTGTTGTAGGGAAATACTTTGAGAGAGAATTGAACCACGTTGGTTTAAAACTTTTTTTCAACATCCAACTTCATAGTTTGTAATAGGAAAAATCAATTGGTTAAATTTGGTAGATTGTTTTTGCAAAGTGGAACCCTAACCCGGAATAAATCAGAACTAACATGTGAATGTAACAAAATTAACAAATGATTATTGAATCATATATTTGAATAGAATCAACCAAAAAAAATTGTATTAAATGTATTTACATGATCCAAAAGCCTTATCAAGTGAATTGTGTGTATGATGTGTCCCTCACCAACCCTATTCAGTGGATTGACCGGATTAAAGACCCAATGGGAAACTGAAGTCACTGTGAACATCACTCTATATAAATCTGCTTTACAATCTTAACAGCCAGACTCTTTAGGTTCTCAGCATAAAGTAGGTCACTGTTTCAAAACTAAGTAATTGAAGATTTATTCAGTAACTCTGCACCACCTTACCCTAAAAGCTTTAAAAACCTGTCCTTTTTGTGTTGCCTTCTAATGTATTTATTTTACATCAGAATGATCTCTATAGGATTTAATAAAAGGAGCATATATACAGACTTAGTTTATTTTGATGTGTGTGTGTGTAAGACACATTGAAAGTGCTTTGTGTAAGGAATCGTGCAACATAAATACGCCTGCCTACACCCACAAAGCCACACGGTTCAGAGTGCAGGCTCCGGGGAACATTTGGTGTTTTAAAATGCTACATCCTGTGGTTTAACCCAGTGGTTCTCAACTGGTGGGTCGCGACCCAAAAGTGGGTCGCGGACCCGTTTGAAGTGGGTCGCGGATGTGTGAGTGAAGAAAAAAAAGTTGAGAAAAAAAATTGGAATTTTTTTTTTTTTTTTTTTTTTGGGGGGAAAAATGCAAACTTTTATTTTGAAGGACCGATTTTCTAACGCTGTGCATGCAGTAGGCGTTGGACTGGAAGTACCGGAGACCATAAATGGTTTTGAAAACTTCTGTCACGTAGTGATCATCTTCTCAATAAAACATCTCTGCTGATGTTTTTTCGAGTCTTCTGGCCAATCAGAATCAAGATTGTTGCCGGAAGTCCCCACGGAGAATAACTGAGGTAGAACTATTCTTTATACATCCATAGGTACAACTTCAGATAAAAATGAACACATAATGAAATATGACCCCCGGTTTGATGATTGACAGGTCACAGAACAATGGGAGCTATCTACCCTTACCCACAATTTAAAGTAAGTCACACAGAATCTCCTCTTTACTCTTCTCTCAGCAAGCTGTCAGAACTAAGTGAAAAACAAACAATGGCATAAAATATTATTAATATGTCGGGTAGTAATAGATTTATTTATTTTCTTCTCAGAGTGTACCAGAATGCGTAGTTTGTTAGTATTTCTAAAAATCTCCTGGGGGAGAATCCCCCCAGACCCCCCTGCTGGGGTTGGGTTTTCAGCATGTGTGCCTTTTTATAGTTCAGCTTTGATTCCATTATCTCATTAAACCTTTTTTAAAAGCATACTTTAGTTCTGTGAAGGGATATATGCACTGTACTTCACTTTTATTAATATTGTATTCTGAAAAGCGTATATTACAGCACGATTTTTTGTTGAATAGATTTGAGTGCTTCAAAATGTTGGGTCACGATGTATTGACCAAGTAAAAAGTGGGTCCCGAGGCCTAACCAGTTGAGAACCACTGGTTTAACCCTCCTGTTGTCTTCGGGTCAAATCTGACCGATTTACTACTTTCATTAATCATGACTTTTTTGTTTTACATGCGATTGCATTAAGGCTTTATGATATCCTTCACAGTAGACATTTGAACATATCAAATTGCTGATCACCACTTTCATTGAATTTTGGATGATTTAGTCAACTTTGTAACACCCATGGTGTTCCCGGTCAAAAATGACCGTCATAAAGAAAAGGAATTAGTAACCATCCGGATCAGATAAAACACACACACAAACACTCACACACACACACACACACACAACACACACACACACACACACACACACACACACACACACACACACACACACACACACACACACACACACACACACACACACACACACACACACACACACCACACACACACACACACACACACACACACACACACACACACACACACACACACACTCCAGATG